CTTAACCCATCATATGGCATACCTAAATAATTCCTTATGATGTACATGGTTTTTTAAAATAATATTTAAAATTATAACTTTTCAAGAGCTAAAAAATGCTATATTTTGGCAAAATTGCGGATAAAAGACCTTCCCCCATATCTCTAAAACTAATGATCCAAAATAAGAAAGCCAGTGGCTCACAATATCTTTCATGTTGATGGTTTACCACACCAAAAATTATTAAAATCTGCTGACCCCCACCTTGCCGCCTTCTGACCGATCTGTTTGGCTTTCTCATGGACGCGCTCTTAACAAATATTTGCTCCCAATGACTTCTTCCAGCATTTTGTGGGCTCTTGATCCTAAAACATATTTAACAAAATACATTATACACATTTGGATTGCAATTGAGATCTGGCATCAGTTGAGAGTAAATTATATTATAAAACATGGAAGTCACATATGTCTAACAAAATTTGTTTATGCATCTGCATCTTCTTTTTAAACCAAAAATATGTAAAAAATAATAATTGGACGCACCCTTTTTAATCCATTGCCTCTCTGGCAATTCATCATGCAGACAGTTTTCAAAGTGTTCTCAATGGCCCTGGTGGATGTCGACAGTGTGATTAAGAATAGACAGCCATTTCTCCTGTTGGTATTTTGGCTGCTTCCTTTCGGCTGTTGCGGCCACCCAATACATGTGATTAACAATTGACTTGATCCATGGGCGAATCTCCTGGCCCCTCTTTTTGGCTGCTGCTTCCAGCTTTTTCTCCACACCTGATGAAGCAAGAATTCAAGTCTAGAGCATTTCTAACAGAGAACTATGCCAGTGCTTCATTTCCTTTGTTGTGCAAAATGATGTGGTATTGTTGCAAACCATTTATAAGTTGTTAAATTTCATTTCTTACCTTTGGCAACATGAAAAACATCAAACAGATGCTGTTTCTCGGGGTTTTCCTCACGCATATACTTGCGGACTTGGACATGTCTGTCAGTTATCAAGCAGTCCATTGTCATTCCCTGTTCTTGTAAAAACTCTACCCCCCTCTTCAATCCTTCCAACTCCATGTGGGTGGAGCCTTTCACTTCATTGCACTGAAATATAAAATACCATGTCTATAAATAATATTATCATAACAAGAAAGACCGTACAGTTATTTGCAAAATAAGGTGTACAACATGAAAAAGTAAATCTACAAAAGACCAACAAAGGTAATAAATGACCAGATATTTCCAAAATTTAATTTAAACAAATACAGGCTTTAAGAAAACCTGCCCACGAAGACCGTTCAAATAAGTGAGTAGTGTTATCTGTACAAGCTGGACATCCAATACTTTGTTGGCCTTCACATCCATCATTGTGTAGGAACCATATTTTGCTGAGTATCCAGGGGTGTCACACCTGGCATCCCCACCAAGCGTAAGGCTTGTATTTCTTCTTTCATTTATTAGTTCCTGCTGACTGTCCTGCCACATTCTGTAGATGGTTGGTATCAAATACGCACTCTGAATCCTGCCATATGTACTCCGTGAAACAGTGAGAATATTGGCATGGCACATCATTCTCAGGGCCTGGCTGGGGCTACTCCCAGAGTAGAGAATTGCTGCAGACAGCAAAAGATTTCCCCATGGCAGTGAAGAGGAGACGGGCTGACTGGCCCATTTTTCTTTGTGACCTGCCTGGCACCAAGTTGTTATTGACTCAAATGTTCCTTTTCTTTTTGCTATGTATTGGGTACATGCCCCACTGCACTTTTTGCACTTATTTAAAAGCTGCAGGAGGCATGACTCAAAAACGATGATTTTTTTTTCTTTTTCTGGACTTCGACACATTAATGGCTCTTTACTGTCCACACCAGCTTCATCCTCAAGTTCACTGTCTTCCTCACTATATGGTTCATAGTTTGGGTCCCTGCTGATATCATCGTCCATGCTATTGTCTTCAGTTTCTGCTTCATTGTTTGTTGTATGTATATGAGCTGTGATAATTTCACATTGTGTGGCTGTTGATACCATTTTCCTTATTGTAGGGGTGGGCACATAAGCAAGGGTGGGTGTTTAAGTGCTGCGTGTTTTATGAGGCCGTGTGAGTTTGCAATCTGTTTGTGTCTTTCTGTTGGTCTGAGTGACTTGTGATTGTGTAGACACTGTTGTTGTTGAAGGTGGCATTTGTAGATGTGTCATCAATGTTCTTTGCTGGACTTTTTCCTCGTTTACTGTTCTCGAGGTCTGGAATATTTCATAAATATAGAGTAAAAATACCAAAAAAAAAAAAAAAAAAAAAAAAAAAAAAAAGAAATAGCCAGTGTGTGTGTGTGTGTATATATATATATATATATATATATATATATATATATATATATATATATATATATATATTAAATATAATATTGTAATAGCAACATGACATTGAAAAACATCCAAGACAGAATCTTTTCCCCAAATATTTAGGAATGAATGAAAATGAAGTGGAATGAAATGCTTTTGCCACCTTTTCTTGGCAATAATGAAGACATAAGTAAAAAAAGTAAAAGCTTTGACACCTTTTCACTGTCCTTTATTTTTAAATCAATTTATTGCACAGCAGCATACAGTGTGTTTTTGTATGTCAACTTAAAATTTATTGATTTATTAAGATATTGTTCTTTTTCTTTTTTCAAAGCTGGAGGGGGGAGGGGTGAGAAAGCCAATTAAAAAAGCTGCCTAAGTTCAGACTTAATTAAAAAAACTAACATATAACGCAATAAACAACACCTGTCTCGATCAACACCTGGGCTGTGATTAGTTCACAAGGCACATTGTTTCAGCTTGTTTCCAGACCTACATGTTTTGAATCTTGTCTGTGACAGCTATTGAATAGTACTGAATTGGTTTTTAAAATCTGTCCAGACACCTTTGCAGGTGTGGTAATCAGTGATTTTATCAGTGCCTACCAGCAGAAACAGTAATTACGGCTGTTAGGAGCAAGACCAGTTAGCTCACTGGCAGATTCTAGACATACACTTGATAACAAACAGATCATACAAAATAACTGCAGCCTTGGAGGGAAACGCCAAGATGAGGAAGTGCCTCGGGCACAATAACATGACAACAACCCAGTACAAGGGGGTTTTCCTTACTGAAAACATTTTCATCGACACCGAAATGTACTTTTAATGTAACTTCTCTGTCCTATTAACCCATGGAAACATTGCCAAAGAGTTGCCACGTGTAAATTTTCCACTTATACGCTTGGGGCAAAAGCTTGCAATTGCTATTTAACACAGGACTTCATTTTGTGACAGGTCGTATTGCGACTGTACACCGACTCGTAGGCCTACATTTACCTTAAATACAGAAAGGGAAATAATTTTGACTCATTCCGATAAACAAATAAATATATAAAATTTTTCAGCATTTAGGATTTGGCCCTTCTACACATAAATACACAGATGACTTACCTCAAATCTCTGTCTTTTTATGAAGGCACCTCCGCTTTTCCCCTTTCGTTTCGTTGCTGTATCACCGCCGCTGTTTTCTTTCTCATTGACTTGGCTATTCGGCTTGGTGAAACTAAAGATTGTAGGAATGGCACCTTGTTTAAGTATAGGCTTCTTATATGCCGAATCGTGACATAAGCTCAGGATCACGCTCGTATGCGTTTTTTTCAAAATGGTCAGAGCAAAGCCTCGAGTGATGCGTAGGTGTGAAGTTTTCCCTTTTCAATTTGACTGTCCATGTTTTCCTCAAACCTGGGTCCTTCGGGAATGCAAACATGTGAATGCCAGATCCTTTCCTGTATTTTTAGTGCATCCCACGGCAACACACTGAGGCATAACGAAAATTGCTCAACTCCGTTCAATACAACTTTCCTAAACTTCTCTGTCTGTATGCACCGTGCAGCTCAGCTGAGTCTCAGAGTCCTTTATCGCGATTGTCGTCATTGTACCACGTGACCCAGATCTGTTGCTTCATTTTTGCATATTGAGGTGAGGTTTACTAAAATGCTTTTTTTTCTACTAATAGATTGTTTTTATAATTTTTAAATGGCGGGGATCGATTAAAACATACCTCTAGTGTATAGATTGAGTGCTGAATCTTCAAAATTCGAGAAATGGATTTTTACATGAACATTGTCCTTTAAGGCATATCATCACCAGTGAACATAAACATGCAGAATCGAATTACCTTTATGTCATGGATCATTCTGCGAAGAACAATTTAAATATTCAGTTATCTGGTGGACTTGGGCAGGGTGCTATTGTAGCCCCCACACTTATCAAACACTGTTTGGTCATACGCATACGTAAGTTCTGCCATGGTGGGCGAGAGTAATTATATAAATCAAATTATGTATATTGTATAAATTACTGAGTCACTTTTGTCCACTTATTTTATAACGTCCTTTCAGTAATTCTGGAGCTTTGTGGGGTATGATCATCGGTAAGTTCACCATCGCAACATAGCAAGTGAAACCTTTTCGTTATGATAAAATTCTAACAGAATACATTTTTACCCGCTGTCTGTTGTGACATAAAAATATCTGAAAAGCCTCAGCTGTTGATAATACCGAAGTGAATGAAGTAAAACGCTGAAACTCTTAACAGTGTCAATGTTTTCCTTTTTATGTTATACCAGCTATTCTTGTTGTGGTGATTATAGAACTGGTGATTATGTCAATAGTTGTGAGGCTGTGTACATGCTACCGCGGTGAGTAGACATAATCATTCTAATCATTCACGCAACGCCGTTTAATCCAATTTCTTTTTAAAAATTTGAATCCTCTATGATTGATTTATGATTTACCACTTCACATTTATCAGCCGTTCTTAACATAGTATAGTCTTTTAACACGCATTATCCTCTTTAAGAAAACATACCATTACTTTTTTTCTCTTATATGCCCTCTTCATCACTGCAGTGCATTTATTTCCTTTATCTATTACATTATAGAACAAATAGAATTTTGTTTCTCGTCCCTGAGGAGGATAAATAATGGTAAGTATAACAGGTAGAGATAAGTATGAACATGTAGAGATATGATTGATTTATGATTTACCACTTCACATTTATCAGCCGTTCTTAACATAGTATAGTCTTTTAACACGCATTATCCTCTTTAAGAAAACATACCATTACTTTTTTTCTCTTATATGCCCTCTTCATCACTGCAGTACATTTATTTCCTTTATCTATTACATTATAGAACAAATAGAATTTTGTTTCTCGTCCCTGAGGAGGATAAATAATGGTAAGTATAACAGGTAGAGATAAGTATGAACATGTAGAGATATGACGGTAGTAGTGTTAGGATACCCTATGCAAAATAAGTTATAATAAATAAGTTAACCAGAAAATGCCCAATCAACATAAAGGTATCTTAAAGCACCAAAATATTATGCTCAAAACATTAAAATTGGCGTTTTTCATTCTGAGATAGCGTCTTTGTTTCTAAATATGATGTTATCTGCAACTAGTATATATATGTAAACCAATATAATTTTGGGGCATATAAAAATAGCGAGTCATCGGTAGCAATCTTATTGTACTTTCTGTGGAGTCAAGGCATTATTAATTTCAGTGATAAAATGACTTAAATAGTGATTTAAAGATCAATCTGCAACTAGGGAATATGTCATCTGATATAATTGTTTTGGGGCATAGAAAATCGGCCAGTCAGTGGTTCTAATCTTGATCGAAATATACTTTTCGTGGTGTCATGGCATTGTATAATGCTTTTAATGTTGAATCTTAACCACGGTTATCTTCTAGTATTTTGCTTTCAAAATTATTATTCAATATTGTCATTTCTCGCTCTGTAAACAATGGCCAAACTGAAATAGAACCTCACAGAGGTTGATATTTTTCATGTTTTCCGATAGATATTATGTTGTCTAACAAATGAGGAATTTTCCAAACTCAAAAGTATTGTAATTATTAAGCATGTTTCAGTTGAGTTCCAGATAACAAAAGGAGCTTGTACATGTATTATCATATAATAAGCATCCAAAAAGATATGCATCTTCGCCTGACGCTAGTATCAGTTATATGTTGTGTTAGGCCAGTTGTAATATCTGCCCTAATATACAGTTGATATGATAAAGCTGTGTGGATTCCAGCTTCATTTTCTTAACACCTTGATAGAAAGTAATAATTGTTAATTTTTACTTCAGTTCTTCTGCAGGAAACTGAGCGCCACGATGGTAAGTAGGAAGATATAGAGACCATCCCTAGACCCTATCGTACTAACTGTGGATTGATCTATCTCCAAGGGAATTCTCGCTAAATCACAATCAACTTAAGCGGCCTATATTTCTGTCACGTCTACTGAAGCTGCTATAGGATAATCATTCATCGTTTAGCAGTTTCAGTAGGTGTGCTAGACATCTAAGCAGCTTAAACTGAAAGCAATTTAACGGGAAACCCCTTGGAGATTGAACGATCCTGTTAGATCGATCTAGGTATGGAACCCAGTCATAGATATACATGACGCAAGTAGTATTGGAAAACCCCAAACAAAAACAAAATAGGCAAATTAAAACATTTCCATAATATTTCTTATGACAACAAAACATTTTCTGATAAATGTACATGTACTATGTTGTTACATAACGCTATTGGTGGTATTTTTTTAACTTGAGACAGTATTTATCTCTATTGATGATTTATATCTACTATGATACTTTTTGGACATGGGTATCGGCTGGTATAGTCTGCAGTAGACACGTCATTATCGTCTTTGTAATACCATTATCTTTCTAATTCTATTATCTTACCTTTATCTTTCTAATTCTATAATAAAATGGATGAAAATATTTGAACTTTATACTTTTTCCTTTATATTTGTACATAAATATTTATTTCATGGGGGGAGAGGGGTCGTCCGGAGAATTGTCATGATACCATCATTAAACACCATTTGTTTGCGGTAAACCTGGATGTACATCTTCATCAAACTGACATGAAGTATTACTCACTAGCTGCCAGGGGGTATAGCGACCAGGAACCTGTTATTAATGTCAGATTACCAAAAGCAACCATATACTGTAGTTCCTGCATTTCAAGAAATTCATTTATACAGCAAAATAAATTACTTGCTGTACCAAAAATATTAAATCCAATTAAAAAACGTGTTCCATTTTGCCTAACAAAAAGAAGGGTAGGGTTAAAATTTTTCCAATTTTAGATTTTACATCTTGTGTCGAACAGTGCATTATTTAATTTTAAAAAATGATACATTGTTTTGTTA